AGGGTAAAGGAACAGTGGATTCTAAGTCATCTGCTTTGCAAATTTTTTCCCATGAATTGAAGCTCTGCCTCCATCATCATCCGTCCTTGAAACTGCATTTCTGATATTGTTTGCTTTTCTGATGTGACTCCATGACAGCATTTCAAAGACTGCTTAGTTTAATTTGTTTCTGCTCAGCACACTGGAATTTTGGAAAACAGGAAGAGTTTTAGGATAAAATTCTCAACTTTATCAGAATAAATTCAGCTGTGAGAGAGTTGTAGCATGAAGAGGGAAATGGCATAAAACACATTGATAAACTACAATAGTAGATGCCAACCTTCTAGTGAAGGGGGCTGGGACTAATTTTTCTCTTATTGGAAGTTAGTTGAGTTTCAGAGCCACATTAAAGAACGAGTTTGGAAGCCAAGTAAGTCGTTAGTCCTCCCTCTTTCTCTTCTTTTTGTCCTTGAAAAAACAGAATATATGAGTTTTATTCTTTTATTTGAACATGGAGCAAACCATATCTAGTAAACAAATTGGCAAATTCCTTATGAAAAAATTAAAAGCAAAGCAAACAGACAAAAAACACTTTAAGGAAAAGCTGCACATTGTATAAAAAATGTGTTGTACTGAGATTTTCTATATGCCAGACACTGTGTTAAGCATTTTATGTTTATTGTTTTATTCAATAAGGAGAGTAAGGAGTATTAAAAATAGTTCCATTTTATAGATGGAAAAACTGAATCTAAGAAAAATTAAGTAAATTCTTAAGGACATAAATCTAGGAATAATTAAATAAAACAAAACTAGCTCTTAACTGATTTCTATTGTAATCATTATAATTCTTTCCTTCCTTCCTTCTTTCCCTAAATATGTGTTGAATTCCTACTATGTATAAGGCAGTAGGCACTCAAAGATGAATAAGATACATTAGGAATCATGTCCATAGTCTTGTTTGACCCTTAAACAATCCTGGAAGTTAGGCAAGGCAGGAACTGTTATTATTACTTTACATATGATATTTTTCTCTATCTTATAGTTAAGAGAACTGAAGTCAAGAGAGGTAAGGTCACATAGAGAGTGATTAAAAAAAAAACATATTGTTGTCAAGTTGATTCTGACACATAGTGACCCTATAGGACAGTGTAGAACTGCCCCATAGGATTTGTGAGGAGCGGCTTGTGGATTCGAACTGCTGACCTTTTGGTTAGCAGCTGAGCTCTTAACACTGCACCACTAGGGGTCCTCAAACAGTGATAGCTATTAATAATGTTAATACAATAGCAAACACTGATCGAGAATTTACCATGTGCAGGGTAGTGTGGTAAGCACTTTACCTATATAATGCTTACCCTCCTTGGGAAAGCATTGGTCTTTCCAGAGCACTCACGCCGTACTACTCTGTGTGTCCCCCACTAGCACTTATCACAGTCCAGTTTATGTGATGACAAAATATGTGCCAGGTTTTAAACTGCATAAGGGTTGGCACCAGATTATCTTCATCTCTGTATCTCCACAGTGTCTACTTCACATTGCTGTGTATAAAAGTCTGATGAGTTGAATTAAATAATGCAGATAATAACTGCTATAGATGTAAAAGAGAGAAATACTACTTTAGGCTTGTGGACTGGGAAAACTCATGAAGATTAATTATTTGACTCATAATTTCAGCCTGCAGAAAATGGAAATCCTTAAGAATGATTACTATAGTGTAATTGAAAACATTGAAAGATTTTTTGTGTATTTTCCATTGGAAACTAAGCTCCACTTTACTTCCTATTTCTCTATCATTACTTGCTCCCCTCAGTCCACCACTGCTCTCCTGAATGCGTTCAGAATCACAGAGTCCCAACATGATAGGGCTGAGAGGAATCTGAGCAGTAGTCTAGTCCATGTGGTCTAAGGACTCTAGAAGATGTGGAATCCTGGTAAGAGGTCCATGAATGTCCATGTTAGAAATTAGAGCAATAAGAAAAATCATAGCATCTGAGGTAAGGGGAGGAAGGGGAGAAGAGGGCATGCCTTTTTTTATTTTTATTTTTTTACTGTACTCATGATTAAAACCAGGGAATTCTATTTCCAACAGTCTTCTCAGTATGATCGCTAAATCAGGGCATGTAACTGACCCTGGAGTAGCAACAGCACTGGTACTGCCTTGGGAATTTCAATAGGAAATTCTTCAAATCTCTAAATTATGAGTATTAAATCTCATGTTCAGATGTTGGAAAATGTAGTGTCCAAAAAAAAGAAAAAAGGAAGAGCAAAGAAGGCATTTGGAAATAGAGCTTCAGTTAATTTAATGATGGGTAGGAACAAAGCAAAATTCCTTGCCTCGGATTAGAAAAAAGGGTTTCCTTGATGTCTAAGACAAGATTAAAGCCCACAATAAATGTGAATAAGTTACCCATCAGTAAAGTGAATAAATTACCACCTCCATAAAATGTAACCTTCATTCAAAAAGCTGCTTCATAAGATATTAAATAGAGGTGTAGTTGGATGGAGACATTGCTAGGCAGCCCTGATACGGCTACCGGTGCTACACAGTTAAATGTGAGAGTTCTAAAATAAAAAGGGCAGTAATGAAAGCATGCCCTCTTCCCCTACCTCCATATCTACCTGGGACTTTATTACTTACATGCTTTAGAAAATTATCTGGGAAGGTGGTCCAGAGGAGACCAATAAGATGAAAATATTAGTATTACCAAGCAATATCTCAAGAAGTCAAACTTATCATTTCATCTGCTCTGAGATTTCAGAGAACTTTCTTTTTTAAAAAGTTTCCTCTGTGTGGTGAAATCTAGAATACTTTTGAAGAATATTCTTTAATTATAACCAACTGTTTATATATTAACATGTATATTATGTATATTAAATATTTATATAGTATATATAAATACTAACATATTCCTGTAAAAAATTAGCATAGTGCACTTACAAAAACTACCTCATGGAAGGAGGGCACAGTTGGCAAACAAATGTAGAAGGTGCGCATTGTTTGCGTAAAAATACAATACACGCACACACACACAAATATATGCAAATAATGCGCACCCTCTACATTTGTTTGCTGGCCTTGTCCTCCCCCTGTGAGGCACCCTCAAAGTACCACCATGCCAATCTTCTTCCACATATTGCTATAGAAAAATTAGCATAGCGTGCCTATGAAAATACCTCACGAGGGGAGAGTGCAGCCAGTGAACAAATGCAGAAAGTGCATGTTATTTTCATAAAAATACCATGTATGTGTAGATGTTTGTTAGTTGGTCTTTAAGAATTGAATTGGTAGACTTTATATTGTTGGTTTTGTGCTTTGCTTTGCTTTTTTCCAGGGAAGGATTTTTTTTTTCCTCCAGGCTAAAACATGCAATATGAATAAAAATAGTTACCCCTGAGTGACAGTCAGCCATGCACAGAGATAGCTGGCCTTTCTGGGAACGGGATGGAAGAGGGTTGTCTTTGGAGCATTAAGTGTTTTGGCGTATGGTCTTTGCTTTTCCAGACCAACGACTGGAAAGAGAACCCTGGAGACTCAAGAAAAGACAGCCATACTCTATTCTCGGAGATGTAGTCTCACCCCCTCTGTTTATCCATTCTATACCTCTGACATCATTTGTTTAGCAAGACAGCATCCCAGGACACAAGGTGCTGTGACTACTAAAACAAGGATTAAATGCATTCCCGGGACCACTGCGCTCCTTGTTCGTCCAGAGGCAGGCCGCTGGCATTTTCAGGGGTCTAATGGTAGATTGGAGCTCTGGTGGCTCAGTGGTTAAGCGCTCAGCTGCTAACCAAAAGGTTGGCAGTTCAAATCCACCAGCCACTCCTTGGAAACCCTGTGGGGCAGTTCTACTCTGTCCTATAGGGTCACTAAGAGTCGGAATTGACTCCACAGCAATGGGGGTTTAATGGTAGATTAGACTGTCCTTCAGCCTGGTAGGCATAACAGGATTCCAGGGGCCATTCTGCTTCAGTTAAAAATCTCCATTTCTTGCGTGATATTAGAAACCACATTAGCAATGAGACAAAAGCCACAATCACACAGTTAATGATTTTTTAAAAATATACATACTTATGATGATACCTTTTAGCATAGGAGAGTTTTAAATAACAAGGGGTTGAGTCCTTGGTATCTAACATACACAAGTGGGATAGGGGAACGTATGCAAGGAGAGGAGCTAAGATGATAAAAGTTTGACACTCATTAGTTTTCTCCAGGATTATCTGTGTTTACCATCAAAACAGGAGCCCTGGTGGCGCAGTGGTTAAACAGCCAGCTGCTAACCAAAAGGTCAACAGTTCGAACCTACCAGCCCCTCCGTGGGAGAATGATGTGATGATCTGCTTCTGTAAAGATTTACAGCCTTGGAAACCCTATGGGGTTGTTCAACTCTGTCATACAGGGTTGCTGTGAGTCGGAATCAACTCGACAGCAACAGGTTTACTTTCAAAAAGGTGGAGACAAAGAGAAACTGGTTTTGAACTGGTTATGTGTTTACCAATTCAGTGGTTCAGCTTCCTGTGATTTGTGAATATTTACTTAACATGAATAATTCCACAAAATCATTGCTGAAAAATTATTGAGCATCTACTATGAGCTAATCACTGTGTTAGGTACTAGAGAAATATTGATAAGCAAAAAAAGATATTGCTCATGGAAATTTCTCTTATATTACTTTCTTCCCAGAAATTTTATTACTTAAGATATTTTTTAAGAAATGCTTATTAAATGAACAGTACAGTATTTTTAAATAGAAAATTAAGGCAAGAATGGGTATTTTTTACTTGACCTTGACCATTTCCTTCAGGGCTCTGTCCTTCAGATTAAAGAAAAATTCTTAAATGTTTAAGAACAGAATACTATATATAGCAATGTGGTAATTGATTAACATACCTTTCTGTATGTCAGTCCAGAAGCAATTGAGACTGATGCACCTCTGACCTTTTCAGCGGCCTTTGCTAAGACCTCATTTGAACAGCAGTTGAGCATTTACTGACATCATTGTCATTTTCTGTTTCAGGGCCGACTTGATTCTCTAACGGAAGTGGATGACTCAGGACAGCTAACTATCAAATGCTCTCAAAATTACTTATCTCTGGACTGTGGTATTACTGCTTTTGAACTGTCTGACTACAGTCCAAGTGAGGATTTGCTCGGTGGCCTGGGTGACATGACCTCTAGCCAGGCCAAAACCAAACCGTTTGACTCTTGGAGCTACAGTGAGATGGAAAAGGAGTTCCCGGAGCTTATCCGAAGTGTTGGGTTGCTTACAGTGGCCACTGATCCCATCCCTTCCAACTGCAGTGAAGCAGTTAGCGAGGAGGTGTCTCAAGTATCTCTTTCAGCAGATGACAAAGGTGGATGTGAGGAAAACAACGCTTCCACAGCCAAAGAGCTCCCAGGCCTAACCCCAGGGACATCATCTTTAGGGGAAGCTCTGAAAAATGATGTTAAACCCTCTTCTGAGACCACAAAGCAAGAATCCAATTCCTCCTCCCATCTTGGTGCAAAGAACCAACAGCCTCTTCCTTGTGAAAATACAACCCCTAAGCGATCCATCAGAGACTGCTTTAATTATAATGAGGACTCTCCCACGCAGCCCACATTACCAAAGAGAGGGCTTTTCCTTAAAGAGGAGAGTTTTAAGAATGATCGGAAAGGCAGTGGTGGAAAGAAGCAGATGGTTGATCTAAAGCCCGAGATGAGCAGAAGCACACCCTCCCTGGTGGACCCTCCAGACAGATCGAAACTCTGCCTGGTGTTACAGTCTTCCTATCCCAGCAGCGCTTCAGCTGCCAGCCAGTCATATGAGTGTTTGCGCAAGCTGGGTGTTGGAAATCTTGAAAACACAGTCAAAACTCACATTAAGGAAATCTCTTCCAGCCTGGGAAGGCTTAACGACTGCCGTAAAGAGAAACCTCGACTTAAAAAGTCTCGTGAGACCCCAGAAGAGGCCTCTCTTTGCCGAACACCTGAAAAGGGAACTGACTCAGGTAATCCAGATGAAAACACAAGAAAGTCAATAGTGCAGAATGGAATTCTTTCTTGTATTTCCAAGGTTATAGAGGGGCCAGAAACAGATTCTGCTTCCACATCCTCATTCGAGCCAAGTAATCAAAGAAGTTGGAATGCCCAAATGCCAGTGCAGTTAGAAACATCCAGTTCACCACCTTGCACTCAAAGCAGCGAATCGTCTGTTGGCTCAGACTCCATCATGTCTCCATTACCCCTTCTTTCAAAACACAAAAGCAAGAAAAGTTACTCCTCCTCCCCAAGTCACGTTACCAGAAACGGTCAGGTTGTGGAGGCCTGGTATGGCTCTGACGAATACCTAGCACTGCCCTCTCACCTTAAGCAGACAGAAGTATTAGCTTTGAAGTTGGAAAACCTAACAAAGCTTCTGCCTCACAAACCCAGAGGAGAAACCATTCAGAATATTGATGACTGGGAACTGTCTGAGATGAATTCAGATTCTGAGATCTACCCAACTTACCATGTCAAAAAGAAACATACAAGGCTAGGCAGAGTGTCTCCAAGCTCATCCAGTGACATAGCCTCTTCACTGGGGGAGAGTGTTGAATCTGGGCCCTTGAGTGACATTCTTTCTGATGAGGACCTATGTCTGCCTCTCTCTGGCATGAAAAAATACAATGATGAGAAGTCAGAGAGGACTTCTTCTTCGGAGAAAAATGAGAGCCATTCTGCCACGAAATCAGCTTTAATTCAAAAACTCATGCAAGATATTCAACACCAAGATAACTATGAAGCCATATGGGAAAAAATAGAGGTAAGGTGGTCTTCTTAACCTGAAGGATTTCTTACTTGATTTTTGAGTGTAATGCTGGGAAAAAGTTCAACCATTCCCCATCCCATTATGAAATGTGTCACTATTTTTGACAAACCTAACTAATTCCCTGAAAAAAAGAAAAAAGCACAATGTTCACTGCATTGTGATAGAATATGCTAGGAACTGCTCTCATCAATGCATTAGCTTCACGTGTCCCTGTCTGTCGATGTTGCTCAAACCTAAGATGGCTCCTGATGAATTGTGCCCCCCTCCCCCACTCCCTTGGATGTAACACAAAATAATATGGAACAGTAGCAAGGCACACACCAGTACGTCAGCAGCATGTGAATGGAATCATTCCAGTTATCCTCGGTGCTTTTTGGTTCTTTTGCTCTGACCCCAGAATAGTTTCCTCATCTCCAGTGTTAACTTTCTGTGGAAATAGAGCAGACGTTTCTAATTTGTCAGGAATCTTTGTTTTTCTTTTACTTTCTCCTCTTTGAGACCTCTGGCTAGTAACTGTGATACCTGTATCATGCACCACCCACGAGCTCTGGGATGGAGAGTTGACATTTTGGGTAAATCTGTACTTTCAGAATGAATGATTAAATGAGATGAAGTTTTTGAGGGAAAACTATCAAACTTCTCAGGCCTGAGCTCTGTAATATAAGTTGTGATTTGCTCCTCATTGAGGAGGCATCTGGGCCAAAAAGATCCACTATGATTATTGTGCTAAGGGTCCTTTCCTCAGAAGGCCATCAGAGAGAGATCCAGTTAATCTGAAAACTGTAATGGTTTGTTATTCCATTGTATAGCACTTTACAGTGTGCGGAGCTCAACATTTTTTTTTTAACCTCATCTTCACAGCTACCCTGTAAAGAAGGCAGGTCAGGTCAGATGATTTTCATTTTATAGAGAAGGAAACAGAAGTTTGGTGAGAGTAAGTGATTTTTTACAAGCCTAAGTTAAGTAATTAAACCCTTTTATTTGGGAAGCTGAGTCCCAAACCCAGGTCTCTTGACTCTTAGTCCAGTTTTCTTCTTATTGCATCGTGTTATTTCCCTGACAGGGTGCAGCATCTCCTTCACTGGGGGGCTCTAAGAGTAGGGGAGACCAAACGGCTCAGGCATCCCCCAGACTGAATAGAGAATATCCATGTAACTCCCATGGCTGACTTGGAGCTACTCCTCCCATTTTTTTTTTTTAAACTTCCATTCATTGTTGGATACTACTCTGGGACCAGCATCATGCTATATATGAAAAAAGTATAGGGTGTATGGACAGAGTAACGTGGAGGAAGAAAATGTAGGTACCTAAAACAGAGAGGGAAAAGAACAGAAATATGTAACAATAATTATTAACCTATATTAATAGCTGTTAACATATATCAAGTACTTCTGAGTGTTTATGCATCCAATCCTTACAACAACCCTAATATTAACCTCATTTTATGGATGAGAAGACTGAGTCTCAGAGAAATCAGGAAGTCTGCTCCTGATATGGTACCCATATTCTTAACTAAATGCTCTCATTTCTCTCCATAAGCAAGTGATCAATATGTACTGCATATAAGCACTCTGGTATTGTAGAGAAGAAATAAAATCAGTGGAGTTGGGATTTGCCCAGAGAGTTCTTACGAAATGGTAAATCTTGAGTGGGGCTTTGAAGGATATGCAGGATTTAGACAGGTAGAAAGAAGGAGGGGGCCATTTCAGGTAGGAGGAGCAGCATAAACTAAAAAACAGATGTGGGACTTGGGAATGAGTGTGTGTCTCAGTGCTGCCATAGCAAAATATCACAAAGTGGGTGCCTTTAAAGAACAAATTTATTTTCTCACACTTCTGGAGGCTAAAGTCCAAATTAAGGACGATGCCAGGACTGTTCTCTCTTTGCTCCATCTTTTGGTAGCCCTTGGGCATCTTTTGCTGCTTCTAGATGTATCTTCACATGGCATCTGTCTTCCCTCTGTGTGTGACCCTGTCTCCATGTCTGTTCTCCATGTCTTAAAAATAAGACACCACTCAGAAGGGATTTGGATTAGGACCCACCCTACTCCA